ACACTCTGCATTCTGGCCAACTTTTCCTCTACTTTTTCCTCTTATCTCCCCTGCTTTCATTTTGGTTCCTTTCTCCGTCTCACATGAACCTATCTCTCCTCCACACTTCCTATTCTCTTTGTTGTTGTCTCCTTCACTCTGCCCTTCCCTGTGACTTCGCGTTTGTGGTGATCCTTTATCTTTTTCTTACACACACACACACACACACACACACACACAAACAAACAACCGTACACACACATTAATGTCTCCAACTATTTCATTAACCTCCTGTGATTCTTTTATCATGAGCCAATAACATTGGAAGTGCCCAGAGAGTGAGCCAGCATGACTCACTCTCTGTACCGTCTCAGCCCCGAGGACTGGACCTGATGGTCACATGAAGGACGCGTGGTTTTAAATCTGGACCATCTACTGTACATATGACCTGCCAAATACTGCTAACCATCATCACAGTGCACTCCATTAGCTGGTCAACGCTTTGGATTAATGTAGCACTGATGGCTGTTTCCTTTTCCCACACTTAAGGGAACTCATAATTTGGCCAATTACCCAGTTCCACAAATCCACTGCGTTCATTGTGGAGAACGCCTCGCCCTGCTTCAGCTGAATTACACACAGGGTGTATGAAGCATTAAGGGAGACTGTGAAGGGAAATAGAGTCATTTATGAAGCAATTTCCCGTGAGCTTCTGTATGGATATGGAATCAGCTCATGGCTGCAGTCATGACAAGTCTGTCTGTGAGAATAACCTCTGAGAGCGTTGCACTGTTTCTATTTTTGGTTCCAACCCTCTCCAAAGGTGTCCTTTGTTGAAAATATTCTATGTAATACGCAATATTTAGATTTTTCCATTTTCTTCTTCTTTCTTGCTGATGAATTGGGAAGTTTGAATGGGATGTTCCACCTTTTTAACACAATATCCAGCTTTTTTTTTGTTTGAATGGGATGTTCCACCTTTTTAATACAATATCCAGCTTTTTTTTTCTTTTCTTTTTTGAATGAAAGTCTCGTTTAAACAGGAGAAAAATCAAACAATAAACTTATTATGTGCAGTTTGGGTTCATTTTGTCACTAATAATCATGTGAAGAACCCCTTCTGCTGCACTCTCTCCAGGGTCGCCACAGAGCACTGTTTCTTAACCTTGGGGTCGTGACCCCTGAGATTCAAATGTGCTCAAATGTCTAGTAATGGATAAAAAAAAATTAACTGTATTTTTTTAACTTTCATGAATGTAAATCCAGTTCACTGTAAGTATTATATAACTATAAATTAAACAGAAGACACTTGTGGTGCTTGCTTTTCAACCCCTGTGAGACTTATTGTAGGCATAAACAGTAAGGTTTGTGTGGACCACCTAGACCTTACTATACATGCCTGTAACCAGTGTCACACACACACATGCAGAGAAAAAGCAATAAGGAAACAAACATGAGAAAAACAACCCCGGGGGGTCCTGAACCTAACACAGGGCAGCATCACTCTTCCTTTCTGTGTGAACTTGTTGGACTCCAAAAGATGAATGGTCTGTGTCCATGTGAAAAGATCTTTTAGATTGATAGTAACTGGAACTATTTCACCAGTGCTCTGGGTTTGTTCTTAAAATATTAATAATAATGCTACGTATTGTAGTTTTAGTACCCTATACCTATAGATTATAGATTTTAGATTTTAAACTTGGCTTATAGCACCCCCCACAGGGGAACCAGAAGACTCTAAATATCTCTGCAAAACTTTAATTAAGAGAAAATGATAGGTCTATAATTATGCAAGGCATTAAAAATAGTGTTAAATTTTTCATTTCTCAATAAATATTTATATTACACTGGAGCAGCATCAGTGATTTCAGACTGAATTAGTTCCATCCTTATTTCGGTAGCCTTTGTTGAGAGTGCTGTTCCAACGTCACAAAGGGGTTTAACTAGACTGTTTCTACCACCACAGTGGACGTCACAAAGGGGTTTAACTAGACTGTAACTAGACTCTACCACCACAGTGTTTTTTACCATGCAGTAGGACGGATTACACATGTGCACTGATATAAACTGCATTGGTGACCAGCTGATTGCTTGCACTCTTATCAGACTGTCGTCACTGTTGTGATGTATGGTCTTTCCTTGGGCTGCTGTGGAAAGGGATGGAAAAAAGGTGACATATTTAATCATAGCAACTGTGGATGTGGTGGTATGTGTGTGCCTGTGTGTTTGTCGGGTGTGTGAGTGCATGTACAAGAAAGGGTGAACACAGCTATAATTCCTGATGTCCATGATGTCTTATCTAAGTTTTCAGTGATTTGTCACCTGACCTCTGTCATTGGCTGATGAATGAGACCAGAGTGAGTGCAGCATCATTCTATCTTTGCGTATGTATTCCATTATTGTATTGTCACCTTATTCAATTCTACTTTTATAAAAAAAAAGAAGTGTATAATTTATTAATGCCAGGCCCTCCCCATCAGGGCCGTTAGCCTCCTGCCCATCTGTGTAATGTGTTGGTTTGTTCTGACTAGCTTCCTTTACTCATCTGTGCAGTGGCTTTAATGCTAATTGCTACTTACACTGCAAACCCCTTTGTCCTACTGTGTGCTAAAGCACCAGCAGACACATTACTGTAGAAATACCCACTGTTGTTTTTTTTTTTGTTTGTTTGTTTGTTTTGTTTTATTCGCATCTTTGCTGCTCAGTTGCTGCTCAAAACCATGCAAAGTGAATTTCAACTGGGTTGATGTCACAATCCATACAGAAACATCTCAATTACTTTTATGGTGAAATCCTATAAAATATATATGTCACAGTCCATCAAACAGAACTGTATTTGTAAAATTTAGTGACTTTATGGAAGAATTCAAATACTAGCACAAAACAAGGAGCCTGAGGAGAAATACTTGGAGCATAAAATTATCAGCATTAATCCTCCACATCATGATGCATTCCTTTTTATCACAGAGAAATGTAAAGAAATGTGCAAATAGTTTTCCCCTGAGCTCACATGTAAAATTCTCAGCATCCATTTTTACACCAAACAAGCCAGATCTGAACTTGACTTTTATGTCATGCTGTCAGCTGTGATGAAGATAACAGTCGTAGTCTGTTGTGTTGGTGTGATACCAACTCACTCCTACTGGCATTGCATTTGCCTCTCATCTGTCACCAGAAAACACTAACACACACGAGCCAGGCCGAAACTGCGACTTCTGCAAACACAAGATCAATTTGCTTTTGAAATATTAAATTTGCCAATGCTGAATCACCTCCAGTCAGTGTCTTGGCTTTGTGATATTTTGCTTTTAAAGGCAAACATTTAAAAGAATATCTGGACCCCATTTAAACTAAAGAATTCATTAGAAACAGCTAAGGACTTTAAATGACGTGTAAGTTACCGTTTTGACGTCATCGCTATGATTTCTATTCTGGCAGGTCTGACAAGGTCTCAAATGGTTGGAGTAGCTGGTCGGCAGAGGGCGCTGTGTTAAAAAGGTATCAATCAACTGACGCCACATTAAGAGTGAGACGTCCGACCGCTTCCGTCGAGCAAAGGGGGGGAAACGATACCAAAGGACTGACATTGTGTGTATTACTGTCTTCACAGGTAAGGGAATCATAAACAGGATGATACATAAAAGTGATATAACAAATATTGCGGTGTTATACTGTGACCGTTGTGTGTCGTAGGTTGTAACATAACTTTGAATGGAGACGAGCGCAGGAAGTGACGCTTGATCATTTTAGCCGTCCGGCGGAATCAGTGTCGTAAGCTGACGTAAGTGATAAAAGTTTAATTACCAAAGGGGAAATGTCTAACAGTAAACCAACTGTTATTTATGATGTTGGTTTTAAATTATTTATTACTTTGCTAATGTGTGGTGTAAAAAATGTGTAAACTTTATTGTTTATGAACAAGTGCTGAAAACTGATGCTGTAAAAGCCCTCTTTCACTGTGCCCCTGACTAGCTCAAAAGATGTGTTTAATGTTCAGTTAATTGTTCAAATTTTGGCAATGAGAATAAAGATAGTCATGCTTTTGGCTGTTTCATTGCCCAGTATGTGTGTTGGCAGACACTTTAGAGAGAGACTATTTTTCAACTTTGTCTCTCTTTTGATTGTGATTAAAAAGTAGACCATATTTTCTAAAGAACATGGCCTAGAATAATATTGAAATAAGAAATACATTATATATATTTATTTTCAAATAAAAGACGGAACAAGCTCTGACCAGGTGAAATAAACTGTCCGTGGTGAAAACATTTTCTCTGATTCATCACATCCTCAGTGTCTCATGGCCTTTGAAATATATTATGAACTAGCTGAGTGGTTTTTCATAATAGACTATTTCAATTGCTTATTCCAGGTGAGTGGGATGTTGAAAGTGAAGTTTTGACATTGAATGAAAGATAATGTTTTTGAGCATGACGAATATTCTTTTTGTATTTTTGTATCATTTCTTTTACCACTCAAACACTAAATTGCTAAGAGGGCAAAGTCTGAAAGGTTTTAAATACAAAAGAAAACATCAATACCAATGCAAAAATATTTATTGCTTTTATGCATTCAAATACAAATCCTCCTGAGACAGATTTACCTTCACAGCTTTCAGCCTAAAATACATGCACGAACCTAAGTAAAGCTAATTCTTTGCAATTAAAGTGCAAATACATTTGAAAGCTACTGCAACATTTACTACTTGGTCTGTGCAGCTCTGATGATAATGAGATTTTCATGTCTTAGTTAATGAGAAAAATGAGTCACATTGTGCCAAAGGGCTGCTTACGAAGCCAAGCTTCCCTTTATAGGCAATTACATTTTGTACAATCAAAATTTAACACGGGATCCTGGATTTTTTCCATATTGTGAAGCGGAGCGTCCCATCTTATCCACTAATGAATGTTTTTCACCCTGACACTAAATCTTTGGCTCTAACTACAGCTCAGTGGCCAAAAATATGTCAAACACACACACACGCACACAGACTTTCATGCAGGAACATGTAAACAGGCTCAGTGGCCAAAAATATGTCAAACACGCACACAGATTTTCATGCAGGAACATGTAAACAAGGATATGGCAGGCTCCCGGATTTGATGTTTTTAGCAAGATGCTTAAGCTGCTGTTTAATCTGACAACAGATGTTCTAACCTACTCCTTTAGATGATTAAATATCTGTAGGTAAAAGGAAAATCACCTAAGTCAACATCTGCCTAAGTAGCTCAGCTAGCCCTTTACTTTAAATTGTGCCTGTACTATTTATGGACATGCTGTTCTTGCTCTTCCCTGTTGTCAAAGTTTCTGTTGTCTTTCTTGGATCTGTGTCTTTTTTGTCCTCGTTTTTGAGAAAACAGTAAACCCCGTAAAGCTGGAATTTTTTATCAGGAAAACCTAAGTGTCTGACGCCAGGCTCAGATCCTCCACACCGAGAGCGAGGGTTAACTATAGGATAACGGATGCTGCCATCCTCCAGCCAACCGGCTTCACATCGGTCCAGGAGCTGGAACTTCCAAGCTGCATAGAGCTGACCCACTTTGGCCACGATAGACCCATCTCGAACACACGCCTTGACAGCCTCTGCATAGTTCACCTTCTTAAAGCGTTTCAGGAAGTAAACCTTGCCTTTAGAGAGAGAAGTAGAGAACAGGAGAGTTGAGAAGAGGAGTAAAAAAACAAGAAAAGGGGGGACAGAGGAGAGGAGAAGTTGATGATTGGTTTTTAAGATGGTGACAAAAAGTGAGAGAAAACTAAGTTTAACATTGTGAGGAAAGCCCCGGAGACAAGCCTGTTTTCACAGTTTTCTTGCTTCTCTGTCTCTTTGTGCCTGGAATATTAAGTCATACAAAAAAGCTGTAAAAAAAAAAGCTAATTTTTCTGTCTGACTGTTGACAGTCCTCCAACTTAACTCCCCTTCTATACTGTAGCATCCATTATTCCCTTTAATCTCATGCGGCTCCATTAAAAATAGTTTTCTGATTTGTTCTAATTGCTAAACTTCACTAATGATCTTTGTCCCAAAAGAATGAAAAATCTACCTCAGACAAAATCTTTCACTGCTGCTACCGCAGAAATCATGTCCAAAACCTCAGAGTTGTATTTGGCTAAGATATCGATTAGCACTTGTTTATGTGGCTTTGAGAAAGGACAAATATTGTCTCACATTTGCTGGTCCCACTGGTGTGGCCCACAGCAGATTTCCCACATCCATTAAGATAATGGCTATTATGAGGAATCACTAAAGGTGTCCGACATGTTGTTTTAATAGATAATGTCACAGAAAGTAGCATTTTTACTACATCATGGCATGATGGCTAAAGCTAGTCCTTAATCATCTTCTCATTTGACCTTCAGGTCATCTGGACCCTTTTAACTGAACAATATTTGAATTCGGTTGTAAGTGGTTCTAGCCCTGTGATGGACATGCAAACTGTCCCGGCTGCACCCTGACTCCCCTCGCAACCTGGAATAGTATCATGTGTTAGAAGAAGAATAAAAATTAAAGGATTGTCTGCTTAATGCTTTCCTACCAAACACCGTGCAGGACTACGACTGGTTTTTGGTTCTGTAGTAAAATAATAATCTTTTTATTTTTAAATCTATTTCTAAACCTTTTCCCAACATATAACAGATATCAATCGATCAATATATCTATCTATCTATTACGTTTGTTATAAATTAAGTTATTTATGCCTGTTGTTTTTAAAAGGAAATCATCTCCCCAGAAACAGACAATTTTGTTATTCTGCTTCTCCATCTTCTTCTGGCTTCTGTTGTAAGAGATTGCCTCAGTAGTTTATCTGCCATGACACACAGCATCTCAGGAGCAGGTCTCACTTTCATCTTATAAACATTTCAAATTGCTGACGCAGGATACCACAGATACTACACGATACTGGCTGTACATTTGCATTTTGGCATCTTGTGAAAGGTGTGTGATTTTCACACAGCGGCTTGACAAGAACACCCCTGCATGCACACACACACACACACACACACACACACACACACACAGTGTGTTGTATCTCTGTTTCTCACCGTTCAGCTTGGATGTGAAACAGAAAGCATCATAGTGCTCATCCTCTTTGTGCCTGTAGCCGTAGTTGCGAACTCCGGGCGTTTCCTTGCGTCCACACTGGGCTCTTGGATGAGATACAGGGTACTGGACTGAGCCGTCTTCCAGCCATCCAGCGTTACACCAGTCGAGTCCCTCCAGCCAGGCCTGCAGAGGGAGATAATGTGGCCAAAGTGAAGGATTAATGACATTATTAGGTAGAGAGAGAGAGGATGTGTTTTATCACTTGTGGAATCCATTACTCTGGCCTTAGCTATACCAAGTGTATTTTGGCAGCATTAGAATGCACTTGCAATGTTAATGAGCTTACACCTAAAGTCAGGCTTCATTCAGCCGAACAGTTTCTGTCCAATTACATTTCAGCTCCACATAAAGTTTTGCTCATTAAATTTGACTTCAGTGATGTTCAGAGGTCACCTTGTGCAGTTGGGAGTGTGAGGCCAAAATGGCATCTTGCTGTTTGCAGGCGTCTTCAGCCTGGTGGTAGTTGAGTTTATAGCGCCCCTCACGGGGGTAATATGGAAACACCACCCCTGCATTTGACAGAAAGACCTTTGTGATGAGCATATGGCTGTAAAATTGTAGGTGGGGTTGGAACAGGTTCAACCAAATCTCTGGGTGGATGTAAACACTGACCTTCCAGATCAAGGTTAACAAATCCAGTGTCATCCTCCATGTCGTCAGTCACTTCACATTCGTAGCGCCCATAGTCCTCCAGTGTGACGTTTTGGATGATCACTGATGCATCACCTGGTCCCGCTTGTTCCAGAAACACTCGGCCACGGTATGGGCCAAACACACGCTGTTGCCTGGGGACAATTACTTTAGTTGAGCGTATTCTTCCAAAATGATAGCTATGAAGATATATGTATAATATATACAGTATATATAAACGTTTTTCTTGCTTGTCCAAAGTCCTGGTTTACTTGTTGGCCTCAGCAGCATTTTCTTCTAAGAAGATATTTTTACACATTTCTTTTGTGAGTGATTGACAGTTACATCAGATGTTACTGAAGCTCAGTGCACTCCAGGTTTAAATTTGTTGGAGTTTGTCAGTCACCAGGTGACTCATATCCCATCTACTGCATTGTACAGGTACATAAGGTGTTGTCATATCAAGTTAACTGCACTACAGTTGACTTTGACCCTTCTTTTTTGTGCTTAATGAACATAGAGATAGACAAAGGTAGCATCACACATGTACTGTTCACAAATACTCTGTACCAAGTTAGTAAGTCAGTGTGAGTGAGCAGTGCAGACCGACAGAGAATTTACTTTCCGAGTGCCACAAAAACGTCCTGGAACTGCAGCGTGTCTGTCACTTTGGTCCATTTAATGCGGATGCGATCAGGGTCAGTGTTTTCTGGTTCATGATGGAATCTGCACGGCAGAGTGATGGACCCACCGCGGTGCGTCACCACCTTACCTGGAGCTGTCTGCACGATCACTGCCCCAGTTTCATCCTCTGAGGAGAAGGGAAAGAAAAATAGATATAAATAATGGTAATAATAATTCATTTGCTGGTTGTTTCGCTGTCCGGTTGAGTAATTGGTTGGTCGAACGTTGGATCCCAGATCTGTACCCACGTGATCAGTAGAATATGGCTGAACAATATTTTTGCTATTGTTTTTAGGTAAGGTTTGAGTAAGTGTGAATAAGTTTAGTTCAAAGGGTTATTGAATGCATCATGTCTATGTGACGAGCTCACAAAACACATTAATTAGTGTGTGTGTGAGGAAAGATACTTGTCATCACAGGAGTACATGCACAACTAAGTTTGTTAAACTTTGAAAGCATTTATTGAGCAGCTGTACACGGTTTTCTGCTGTTCTGACCAGATAACTGCAGCTCTTATTATTTACGCCAGCCCGCAATTAGTCCAGTCACGGCTCGCTGCTCTTGCTAACTTCTGTATCCGCAGCCACAACAAAGCATCTAGTTCAATCAAAAGATTTGGACCAAGCACTAAAGGCAACACCCCGGTGTTAGAATGAACAGCATTTTACTGCTCTGTTTGTGTGTTAACAGCCATCACTGACACCATGGGTTGTTAAAACCTAGAAGTGTTGACAGGTGGAGATGTTAAATGTCTGTGACGCAGCCACCCAGGCTGTGTGGAGGAGATGACACACCCAGAACAAAACAGATCAAAGAGCAGACAAGGGTGACAATTCAAATAAAATGTCCCCTGAATACATACAGTTGACATTGATAATTTCATCAAAGGGACATTTTATGTCTCTGTTAAAATGATAGTTAACCTTCATTAGGTAAGAGTAAATGCAGTCTGTAATCTTAGTTATCCTTAGTGAAAGGATCAGGCTCAGAGAATTTATGGACCTGAAAAGACTGTGGTGTTTCAGCATTTAAAAATGTCCGTCTTTATTTTTCTGAAAAGAACAAATGTTTCATTATTTGTCCTTACCAAGAACATGAACCACTTTTCTTCTTTCTTTCTCTAAGCCGGCAAGCAGAGAGCTCTCTAAGAGAGCACAGGTCAGGATGAAAACCGCAAACGACATTTTTTTAAAAGCCTGAGGAGAAAAATCACAGAGAGAAATTAAACAAGTGGAAGCTTTTACAGGTATTTCAGAAAATAGCATATGAATATGCACTGTTTGTGAAGCCATGCATCTACCCTGTATCAAGAGAAGGGTGTCATCAGAAAGTAAGAAAGAGTATGGGTTAGAGTAACAAATTGTAGCATTTGTTATGTCGACTACATTGACCTGTAGTCAACAGTGCTAGAAACTGTGAGTTAAATAGTTTTAGAGGACAGTGATATCATGTTGTTTTGTTGTTAGTCATTACACGTACTGTTTTCTCAGCCCTGACCCTACAAAGTATCTGAGTATACAAAAGATGCTCGCCAGTTGAATGTAAGAGCTGTGATTGTTTTTTTGGTTCGAAAAGCACAGCCAGTCTGAGTTTGGTCAATTAAAAAACTGGTTATTTATTTGTACAGAGAGTCAATAGAAATGGTCTGCAGTGACTCAGGGGCCTTGAGACACAGTACATGCTGGATTCACCACCGGGTTATGGGAATGACAACAGACGAAATTATTCACCCTTAACTGCCCAACCGTGTTCTATTTACTATCTCAGTAAACTCCAACGCTTTTCTGTCCAACCTACGTAATGACAAGGAGGGAACGTGCGTATCACACACAGTATGGCCAACTACCACGACCTTGAGTTGAACCCTCACATGATCATATGCATGGTTACCGATCATATTTACATTATCCCTGTCATGTACTACATGTTATGAATAATGGCTACAGCCCACTGTTAAATGCAAATTTTCCACGCAAGCACGTTTTTGGTGCTGGAATAAAATTGTACTAAACAACAATATGAAACAGTCCAGTGGGTATTCTTACGCTTCATGCTTTTCAGTGGCGTCTATGACTAATTGCCTGGCATAAAGCAGCACTGCAGCAGTACGTAACATTTGAACATGAAGAAAGGCCCCGGTGAGTCACAGAAAGAGCTAGTCCACATATATACGTTCTCCACATAAAGGCTCTGGTGCACCATTATTCTCAAGGTGAGTCCAGTGACCATGACTGACTGCAGTTCTCGTGCAGCACAGAGAGCTGCAGGACGAAGTGGAAATACTCGAGTGCAGAAGTGAACTTACCATGGTTACCACATCAGGGTGTATGTCAGGATGAAGCAGATGTGCGGCTGTGTACTGTTCAAACTCCTCAGCCGGGCTAAATGTTGTTCTACGGCAGCTCTCGCCCCCTCTGCTCCTCTTTACTCTGTCCTGCTCCCTCTCCCCGTCTCTCTGTTTTCAGTCCCATCACTGATCTCTCACACTGCAGGGGAACCACTAGTGTTTGTGGGTCCTGCAGTCCTCCAGTGACGCAGCAACATTTGACTGTGCAAGTTGTGGATGTACTGTTCAGACGATATATTGACTGCACGCAGACTCTGTTATCTCTGTGATGATGACGCCTGTCAGAGTGACTTGGTGCTTTGACAGTCACTCTTTGCTGTGGGTGATGCATTGACACCTCATTCATTTTCACACAGAACACCATTGTAATTAAAAGGCGAATAACAGTGCGTGCAGTTTTCAATTGTGACAGTGTCAGTACAAATTCAAGTTTTCTAATCACTCTAAAAGCTTTGTGGTGCAGAGAGATGTGATAAGGAAGTAAACCAATTGGTTTGGGTTTTAAGAAATTGCGAAATTGCCTAGATTTCCATTTTATAATTACCAGATATTTTATTTTATCAAAGTATTTACCTCGCCGTGATTCTGTAGAACCTATTTTCCAAAAGGTTAAAACATACTAAACTTACTCAGTTATGATATATATGTAATGTGGTTTTCAGGCAAAAAAATAAAATTTTTAAAAGAATAAAATATATATAGATGTGGGAAACATTAAAACATTTTAAAATCAATACTTTCAAAACACCTTTGTTTACGTCATACGCAATACATTGGATTGTGTTACTTTTGTTTTCTTTCATTTGTGTTGTTTTCTTTTGGGGGGGGGTTGGCTCCCAAGTTTAAGTCAGACTCTTCTGATTTTTTTATTTCATAGATAGGTAATGATGCACAGAATGTGAGTTCCAACTTAAGGCGAAAATTGAGTTTTGTCGCACCCCAGAAACGGATCTCTGACATAATCTGAGGACCCCTGTACATGTTCTATTTGTGTTGCACTGGAAAGTTGTCTTTTGTTGCCCTGATTTGGATGAAGATTTGTCTATGTCTTTGAGTTTAAGAAACATGAATGGGTTTTTCATCCAGACGTTGTGTAAGGGTAACATACAGTAGGTGAAACCAGGTCTACATAAATCATCAGTGCCACAGTGCGTGCACACAGAATACTGCCCAGTTGTGTAGGCCACAACTGGTGTATCCTGTGTAGCTGTCTAAAGTTCGCTGCATGCCGAGATCGTTGTGAATTATAGCAAATATTTCAGAGGAACCAGCTGGTGACACAGTTTTTATATGACCTGCAGGCTGCTCTGTCCTATTTACCAATATCGTGACCAGTGTGTGTGGTCGGAGCACTTTTTCATGCTGTGCCAAGAATTTTTTATATTAACATTTTTCTATTGGAATGCAGGCTTGTGGTTCCTGCAACCTTGTATATTATAACATGTTCTCTGGTAACTTCTGGTCCTAATGTATTTAAACGTATCACTAAAAAACAAAGGTGGAAAGTAACAAATTACATTTACTCAAGTTACTGTAATTGAGTGTTTTTTGTGAATCATTTGTACATTTTTAAGTAGTTTCGGGAATATGTATTTTCACTTTAGTATATTTTGACTGAAGTATTTTAGTTTGCTACATTTGAAAAGAACTTGAATGACCGTGATCTTGTTACTGACTTGTTGCTTACCGTGCATGCTCAGATATCCCACTATTTTATTGTAGCCAGATATCGTTGACTTGGGGACAGACTCTTTCCTGTCGTTGGATGGTGGCTGGTGCCAAAGAAAAACTGGAGCTTGAGGATTGCCAAGCAGAGAGCTCCTGTGGAGCAGAGGACTCCGAAAGAGAAGGAAATCTTTGGCCATATCTCAGCCAACTCTTTGTTTTCAAATGCAAACGAGGCAGTAACTTCATCAGTGCATGCAAAATGTGCCTGGCCCGGTGGACAGAGCTGTAACTGTCACAACTTAAGTGTCCTTTAGTGGCTTGAATTTTGCAGTATGGATCGTAGAATTCTCAACTTATGCGTTTATTTCATTATAAGTATTTTGAAGTAAGTAAGTTAAAAATGTTTTTTTTTTTTACCCGAGTAGATTTTTAGATGGGTAGTTTTACTCTTACTTTAGTAGAATTTAATACAAATAAAGCTACTTTTACTTAGTTACATTTTTAGTACTTTTTCCACCTCTGCTTAAAACCCCTATAAGACATCATATGGGTGTTTGTCAAAATCCAATTCATTCATGCAGTGGTAACAAATGACATCTGTTGGTTAAAAAGAAATGAAGTTCCATTAATGAGTGCATCATCTGCTGCAGTTGCTGCAGTGATCTGTTGCATTTACAATAGCTTTTACGGTTCGAGATAGTTTCGCTGTAAAGCATCACAGAACCACTGGCGTACGACGCAGCCAACGGGAAATAAATGTTGATTACTGGGAACTTTATTTTGCGAACGCATAAAAATTCCAGGGTGACAACTTTTAACACTTCAGATCGTTGGCAGTTATGACGACACGCAAAGTTGACGTCGTATTCTTTTCAATATAAAGGACCGACGTGATTAAAAGGGTAAAATCATAAAAGCGGTTTGTGGGTAATAGAAATAATGTGAAAAGCCACATTACTAAAGTGTGCTGCGGAAATGCTATCATCCCCAACTAGCGCCAGTTTCCTGCCTACCCGACAACTGTTTTGTCTGTTATGCTGTTATGTTGTGTAAGCTTTCTTATCAGTTTATTGGGCACGAGGATTGTATTTTATAGGATCAAACTTCACGTAAAGCCGTATTTCTCCCATTTGCAGCTCTTCTTGTGACTACATGCAGGGCAGAGATTAATGGCAGGACTGTCCTGTGACTCCCGTCATGGGATTAGGAGCTGTGTGGAGCCGCCACATTTGATTTAAAGCTTTTCCCATGCTCACAGAATGCACCGCAAGCATGTGCAGGCAGAGGCGAAGCCTCAGTTCAGCATGAAAAAGCTGCTGAGTGTGAAAAGGAAATGAGTTTGCACCCCCCACCCTCTCTCTCTCTCTCTCTCTCCATCTATCTCTGTGTGTTGGCCTGTTGCTTAGCAAAGTACAGGGGATAATTATTAATAAAGGAGCTGATGGAGTGGAAATGGGAAGAGATGTTTACTGTTGTTCTCGTAGGCTTTATCTGAATACACAAATGTTCACCTCTATCTTCCTCAACAGAACATGGTCTGGTCTTTTCACTGGCTGAAACTAATTTGTGTGTTGTATATTGTAGTTATGTGTACATGTACCTGCAGTATACGAACGTAACTGCAGTTACATTACATCACATTAACCCTAACCCTAAAGAAAGCATTTTAATGGCGTCACCTAAAAAAGCAAAGCGAAGTAGTAAAAGCAGTGACAATAACAGTGCTGGCATTGGAGACAAATAAAGGACCAGACCGGGTTAAAACAGTAGGTGGACACTGTAATAGCAGCAGGTCATCGGTTTCAGTACTCTGTATTTGGTAGTGGCAATGAAAATACTCTACACACTGCCGTTCCCCTCTGTCACCGCGGTTCGTTCCTTGCCCTGTTTTTGTCCATTCCTTGTCTGTAAACGTGTCACTGTCCTTCACGGTGTTCTCTGACTCCTGTCAGTTCTCACTCTCCAGACGACAGTGTCATTCCTCAGGACTGACATCTTTATGCAGCAACAGTCCTTTTTAAAGAAAAGGTTCATGGACTTTTTGGTCTCGCTGCAAACCTCAGTTGCACTTCAATGACTTCCTTATTACAGTCTGACAGAGTGGTTTTTCATTTTTATAGAACACACACCTGACTTAAAATGATGTTGTTTCTCAATACATCAAACGCTCACATGTAGCAGTTCTACTATGCCTGCTTTTGTTAGTACTAGTTTAGTCGTAACGGCACGATCTAATATGCAGACTAGAATTGGATAAAAACAGTTAAACTCTAAAGATCAACATGCTGAAGAAACTAGGCAGAAACAAAGAGAAGGACTCGAGAAACAGTGGAGTAAAAGTGTGCACAGCGTGGGCTGATGTGTGGGTTGATATATTATTGTTTTTTTGTGTAGGGCAGTCCAGATGGACCATTGCATCGTGGGTAAAGTTACAATGCCATTATGTCTGCCTGTGGCCTAGGTAAACTCACTGAATCCTAATGTTTCCATGGTGAGACCCCAACCTAAGGTGCATTATAAGTGTTTATTGACATTTTCTCACCACAGTCGATGAAATGCTGTTTTATGAATAAATAATGATGATAAATAATGAATGTTGAAGCCTGATGTTGTTGTCATTGCAGTAATGACATATAATATGATCAATTTCACGCCTTTTCATGTCAGAAGATTAATTTTAAAAAACTAATGAATTATTTTTTTTAGTTTTATATATAGATATTCAAGTTTATGTTGACGTACTGGATTAAAAGATGAAGGAGAACGCAACAGTTCTATTGTCCAGGACGGACTGACAGAGATCCTCTGATCGTGTAGCTGCGTCAGCGTAATATAAGAAGAATTCCACTGTACCGTCACTTTGAAATTGTTTTGATTTAATGCACAACTGGGACTGTTCGTCCTCCAAGAGCGCCTGTTGTCAGTGATGAGTAACATGACCGTCCATTTCATGAAGTGATTATGACTTTTGGTGAAGTCAAGGATAAAATATCAGTGTGAGCACCATATCACTCATGCTGAGAGTGTTTAATGAGTGGGTACAAAAGGGAAGCCACTTCAGTCAAGCTCCAGGGTCAGCACTTGTAACTGCAGATTAACTACACAACAGTTGACCAGTGATGAAGACAGCCCAGCTGTCCTAAGATTCTTCTGTTAAGTTCAGTGGTGTCTGAAAGCCCTTTGTTTTATAGTTGATTGTGGTCGTCATGTCATCAGACAAGAATCAATTTGTAATTGAAGAAAAACAATTGCAAGTGCAATAAAGTGACACCTGCTTATTCGCAAAGGCATCTTCCCACCGACTGAGATGCTGGTGGGGGTCTTTGGGTAGGAGATTAGCTTTATCAAGTTGGCAACATGCAGCGAGTCTGACCGATCAATGACTCACAATTGTGTCCTGACTGCCGCTTGAAAAGGTCTTTGAATAAACTATCGACCAATCAGTATAAAAAAAAGACAGTCAAAGGCGGCAGGAAGATAAAGGGGACAAAGGCAGATCAACCACTGCTCACCAGAACATCTCAAAAAGAAACCATCATCCTTTATGAATCTTTAGCTAAAAAAAGAGGCGGGTGACAATATAACAGTCTCTAAAGT